ATCGTAACATTGACTTGATTACTTAAAACATGGCAAAATGTTTGTGCCCCGTTGGAGATCTTTTTGAAATGTACATATTTTGCTTTGGTCTGTAGAAACATTTCCTGATCTGGAATATCAGCTGTAGAGGTGTCTCCCCCTTCTCTTGAATTTAAAGAAACTAAATGGCATTTGACTTGTGATGCTCAAAACACCAGTAAAAAAAGAATATTTACTACATACATGTATAAATACTTCCTTTAATTGGCAGATGTAGCGAAGAAAGAAAATAATTCCTGCTCACTGCTTGCAGTGACGTTTGTGGATTGTTGTAAGGAACCGGGTTATGGTTTATGAAAAGAGATGCTGCTGCTGAGTGTTAATACCAAATTAACTTTTTGAGATTCAGGTTCCACTGTATTCTCAGTAATGTCACAATTCTAAAACTTGGAAACCCACACCAAAATAATCTAGATGACTGCTACAGTCCAGGTTAAATATGTGAAAATATGCACACTTGACTTTTAGAGGGGAATGTCCCTTTAAATATTGCTGTTTTAAACTTTGAGCTATAGAAATATTTGTTGTGAATGTTGCCGTTATTGACTTGTTGGAATCAGTTATACTTGCACACACATGCACACATATATACATATATCAATAAATATACATGTATGTTTTAACTTAAGGCTGACTTATTTTCTGAAATGCCAATGAAACATACTGTAACAGAATGCAAATAAATTTATAGCTCTGAATATGCAAGATTAAACCAGTGTGTTTGTTCTTGGTTCAGTGAGTGTCACTTGTCTTTTCAGTTTCAAAGTGCATCTGCTGCAAGGGCGTAGATTTGGTTTTGGAATTGGTGGGGACGGATGATTCAACCACCGAACTCTGCCATGTTTCTTATTTTTTTTCCTTTTTGTCTTTGCTTCTTGATTAAAAGAAAGGAGAAATATACTTGTCTACATATGCTATTCTACATGCTTTTTTAAAATTACAATTCATAGTTTTATATGTGAATTATATAATCTTAAATTACTATTAAACAAATGACTAAGTATTTTAGACGTTAGTTTACTCCGGCCATATTCCATATAAAAAGTGAGACATGTCAATTCAGATTCTTTGTCAAATATACACTAATGAATCA